TCTTTGACACTGGAATGAAAACTGACCTTTTCCAGTCCTTTGGGTACTGCTGAGTTCCCCAAATTTGCTGATATATTGAGTGCAGCACTTTAACATTATCTTTCAGGATTTAAAATAGCTCAACTGCAATTCCATCACCTCCACTAGCTTTGTTCGTAGTGATGCTTCCTAAGGCCCACTTGACTTCCCATTCCAGAATGTTTGGCTCTAGGTGAGTGATCACACCATTGTGATTATCTGGGTCATGAGGATCTTTTTTGTACAGTTCTTCTGTGTATTCCTGCCACCTCTTCCTAATATCTTCTGCTTCTGTTAGGTCCATACCATTTCTGTCCTTTATTGTGCTCATATTTGCATGAAATGTTCCCTTGGTATTGTGAGTTTTTAGGCAGAAATAAAGTATGTAAAATAAAAACTACAATAATGTAAGAGTGAAATTTGTTTTAGCAAACATGGGATAGAAGTCAAAGCTGAGTCAAATTTTATGAAATATTATGTTTTCAATTGCCTATACAATAATTTTTAGTTGTTGATGATTTTGTGTTTTGTGTTAGTCATTTTCTCTATAACTTTTTCAGGAACAAATGCAGCGGTGATTTTTACAGTCTTAACCGTGAAAATATTGTTTAGTCATATTGTTTACTTTTTTCATTATGTAATTAAAGGTGTTTAACAAGGATTGATAATTCCACATCATTTCACATTTAGGCCTGATGTTTCTAAGCAGTACACTGATGTATAATGCACAGATCCATTTTAATGAGCCATAGAATCTGAGATTCAAGATGCCCAAACTCAGTTATCATCTGCCTCTCACTCAACTGAAGTTGCTCTAACTCTTCATCCAGACACTTGATGGTCCTCATAGCTGACTGCACAAGAATAGCCCAAGAATACTGGAGTGGGTAGCCCATCTCTTCTCCAGCGGATCTTCCTGAACCAGGAGTCAAACCAGGGTCTCCTGCGTTGCAGGCTGATTCTTTACCAACTAATGTATCAGGGAAGCCCTTTTTCAGCATCTTATTTAGCATATATTGTGGGTCTTCTGTTTATTACTGAATGATTACATATGTTTGTAATGGGGGTAGAAAAAAAAAAAGAACATAGTTTTTTTCCCAGAGAATGTAGGAAATAGATATAACATTAATAGGTGGAAATTAATATAGTACCAGAAGATTACAGAGGGACTAAAAGTATTTGTACCACAACACTGATATGTAATAAACTACATAAAGTTTCATGCGGAAGATGCTATTAGAGATATTTTTAAGAGAAGGTTAGAAAGGACTAGAGGATATTTTGTATCAGACAGTACAATT